CTCTTTCTCATTCTTTAAAAGGATTTGCACTTTCTTTTGAGAGTCCTATCTGGTACACACTAGCTGTTGTCAGCATTGTGCATTTTTGCTGTACATAAATAGGATTTCATATACTGTTTGTAGTATAACCATGAAGATGCTTGTTTTTTTTAAAAATGTACTTTCATATGAAAGACTAGTGCTAGAACTTGTGCATTTTTGAGTGGAAAAACATTTTCATATTCTTAGCTTCAATATAACATGACTAAACGTGTCTTTTAGCAGTTGACAGAATTCTTACTTTGATAGCTGTATTTTGGTAGAACTACCAGAGGTCTGGCTGATTAATATATATCCTTATCTGTAGCATTACTGCCTTTATTTGTATCTAGTTTGCAATGGCTAGATTTTAATACATCTGAGATGCCTTATGTTTTTCACTTGCATAATCGATGTATCTTAATGAATCTGCTCAACTCACGTCTAAGTGGAGCCTTGTACATTCAGTTGCAATTATACAGCACCAGATGAATTGTATCTATTATAACTTGTTTCTGAAATATATTTCTTATCACTTAACCACAGGTAAGATTGTAGACATTGTTTTAGTCTCTATGAAGACTACGAGTATTAAAAAAAAAAATTGCTCTATTTTCTTTGTCTTTTGTATTCTGTTAAGTGAGGTAAATTACAGGATAACTGCCCGCTCAGAGTAGAATACATGCAGTTTGACTCCCTTTTTGCATAAAACCCAGTTATTGCTTAAGGAAGACTTAAAAAAAAAAAAAAAAAAAAAAAAAAAAAGGGTTAACAGAATTGCTGAGGTAAGGATTTTTGTTGTTAGACTTTCCAAAACTCAAATGGGAAAGCAAGCTTCATTAGACATAAATTTTTACTTGAGTTTAATGGGTTAATAAGTTTGAGCGTCAAACTTGCAGACATGGATTCATTTCTGCTTAAGTCTCTTGATCACGGGGAAAGGTTTGTGCTAACTTTCTGCCAAAAACTGCTTGTGTAAAGGAATTCAAACAGGAATTAAAATGTCAAGTGTGTTACTAATTAAACTGATAAGTGCAGGTCTGACTTTGCTATTTTCCCCATCCCATTCCCCTTAAAAAAGCAAGTTGCTTACTGGAGTAAGGTTATTCAATAAAGCTTCATGGTCCCAGAAAATGGTAGGTGAATCTCTGGAGCTGGCATAACAGAATCCACAGTAAGAAGCACGATATATGAGTATTGATTGGTGAGTTTTTTCCTGGAAAATGTGCTGCTTCAGTATGTTATTGCTCTAAGCCAAGTGTTGCTGAGCTCTGTTGGAATACATAGCAAACAAACGCATGGATGCGTTAAACTCCCTTGACAACAGTTCTGCGTTCCTTGCTGGCAGTGGTTTTCCAAATGAATAGTGGCTACTGGAACTAGCAAGTAAATTGTTTAAAATTGAGTTTAAAACATACAACTCTCCTCCCCATAGGAAAAAGATCTGTAGCTTTTTTGTATTTAATTCATGCAGAGAAATAGCTGTTTTGTTCTTTGCTTTTAGGTAGATTGAGTTTTATTAACATTGAAAATAGTTCTGTAATAAGGTTCCCTGTGCACTTCTCATTTCTGTTACATGCTGTATGTAATATGCTATTGGAGTAAGTTTTTTTTTCTTTTTTTTTTTTCCCCCCCCCTCAGGCTCCCTCCCTCATTTAGTGCAGAGAGTAACTGGCGCCAGCATAACGAACAGCTATTCGATAGAGTCCATTTTTAATTATCTATGTTATGGCAATGTGTCAATTGCTTGTTTTACAAATGTATAGACTCTTGAGCTGTCTTACTGCAGAGCAACCTCAAGTCTCTAAATCAGGCACTCTAGTAGTTGTATTATCTGGAAGTAAATGCCTTTTATCCTGCATAATTTGGAGAAAGTTTTGCATTCAGCGTGTGGTTCTGTATACATCATTTATACATTGTTTGAATCCTGTGAAACCAGTATTTCTTTTTCTTGGAGTGCATGTTGCTGTACAGTCTGGTTCATTCTTGGTTTATTTTGGGATAATGAGATGGTCAACAGTTTGGGGTTGATACCATTCACTACTGCATCTGATAAACGTTGTCTTTGTCTTACTGCTTCCCTTCTCTTTGGTCTCTCCTGAGGTTCTGAAACTTTGACTGGAATTTTCCTAACTTCATTATTAAGAAAATAGTTAATTGTTAATATCCTCCACAAACAGTAGAACTTAAGAGTTTTATAAACTGAAAGCATGGCTTTGCATTAGGAAATGATCTTAACTGTAAGTGGTGGTAAGTAAGCCTGTTTATAAGAAGCAACATAATGAACAGGAAGTATTCAATACTGATTGAGTAATAGACCTTGAGTAGTAGAACTTGTTAAGAGATGGTGTCAAGAAAATACGAAATTCTGAGCACAGAAGTCTAAAAACCACTTCTTGTGGTACCAGTTCAGCTGTACCAAAAGCTTTGAGTTAATAGCTGGCCAGGAGTTATGTATTGTTTGTCATCACGGTTTCCTCAATTCTGAGGTAAGTGCCTAGTTCTCCAGGAATTCTTTAACAGTGCACTTCTCTAGAATAAGTGCAAGTCAGTGTGAAAAACCTCCGCAGAAGCTACCAATGCCCAGCTTTATGGGTTCAGTTTAGGTGTTTGTTTGAAGATGTAAGGAGAGGTTCTCTGCCTTCGCTTCCAAGAAAAAGGAATAGAGTTTGTTGGCATCTGAAGATCAACTATTTTTAGGCAAGTACGTATTTCACAAGGAATGCTTTCAACCCTGAGAAGTTGTTTTCTATAAAAATAAACTTCTCCATGCCTTCCCATCTGCCTGCTTTTGAAATCATCTTCAAATTTGTTCACTGTCTGAAACAGACGTCCCTTCCAACTCTTTCTCATCAGAGTTTCCCTTCTGCAGGGTAATGAAGTTGGGAACAGACTGCCAGTTTTGCATCCTCAGAGGCAGATTCCTACCTCTCCACCCCAGTCCAATGTAAACTGGCTGCTTGCTTGGGAATATGTACAAATGTGACACAGCTAGTCGGGCTCAGGATTATGTCACACTGAAAACTGTATAGCGGGTTGTGTAACTAGGTAGCTTTGGACCACACCTGACAAGCAGGGTAAGGTAGTTTCCCACCTGAAAATGGCAAGTCTGGATTGTTCTTGTGTCTGCAGCAAAAGTTAGGCCCCTAATGAAAGAGGGTGTCTGTTGCAGAGCAGAAATAACTAAGTAGCATGATCCTCATTTTTAGGTCCAACTTCTGTTTGTATAGCTAAAGCATATGTGATCTGTTAAACTTTTCATGAGAAACTGCCTCGTGTCCTCTTCTGGCATGTCCTTTGAACTGGGGATTAACTGACAATCTTGGTTGAGGAGTTGGTGGTCAGTTGACAGTACCTTATCTTACTATGAACATTTCAAGCGTCGCATTAATGTCACTATCTCCCCTAATGCCTGTATGGCCACCTAACTGAACTGTAAATGCAAGTTTGAGATTAAAAGTGTGTAAGTTCATTTTTATTTTTTAAATGGCATTAGTTTTTTGTCTGAAAGCAGAAGTTTGCAAATTCTGGGACCTTATGTGATGTGTTGCTACCAGTTTATGGTCTATCTTCCTAACTCAGTGTTGTTGGGCTCTGTGGCTTTCTGAGCAAACATCGCAGATGCTATGCTTGTAACAGTGGACCTTTTTCCCTGAACATGTCTTTGGAAATGTAAATGTAAAAATACGTTACAGAATCACACAATGGTTGAGGTTGGAAGGGACCTCTGGAGCTCATCTGGTGCAACCCCTTGTTCAAGGAGGGTCAAGCTAGAGCAGGTTGCTCAGGACAGTATCCAATCTGACTTTGAATGTCCCCAAGAATGGAAACTCCACAACCCCTCTGGGCAATTTCTTCCAGTGAAGAAGTGTTTTCTTGTGTACAGATGGAACCTCCTGTGTTTCAGTTTGTGCCCATTGTCTCTTATCTTGTCTCTGGGCACCAGAAGCTCCAGTCCCTTAATCATCTTAATGGCCCTTTGCTGGTCTTGACACTGTGTCCATATCTGCATTGTAGCAGGGAGCCCCAAACTGAATCCAGCACTCCATGTGTGGCCTCACTATGGCCAAGTAGAGAGGAAGGATTACCTTCCTTGACCTGCTGGCAGTGCTCTTCCTAATGCAGCCCAGGATACCACTGGCCTTGTTTATCACAAGGCACATTGCTGGCTCATGGTCAACTTGTCCACCAGGACCCCCAGGCACTTCTCTGCAAAGCTGCTCTGCAGTTGCTTGGCGCTCAGTGAGTACTGGGACATGGGATTATTTCTCCCCAGGTGCAGGACTTTGAACTTCCATTTGCTGAATTTCATGAGCTTCCTCTGCCCATTTCTCTGGTAAGATGGGTATATCTTTATTCAAACTCAGTGTTTGTCCCAGTACCCCTTCCCTTCAGGAGGAACGTGTAACAACCACCCTGTATGCTGTGTTCTTCCTTCTGTGCCTATCTTCCCTCTTAAACAGAAGGTTTGTGGAGAAACCACTGAAAAGAGAAAACTGCAATAAAGCTAATGCAATAACTTTCTCCGCTATAGGCTTATGTACTTTCAATATGGCCTGGAAAAAGAGGTGGTGCTGGAAGTAAGGCACCTTGCTGGGAGTAAGGAAGCCTGAATTCATTTGCTACAGAACTTGCAGTCTTACAGTGCAGGTGCTAGCCTAGCTTGAAAAACATGCTATGTGGACGAAATCAGCCGCGGTCCAAGGACAGCATACATCGCTCAGGAGAGGACGTTATAGCTATTATGATTTAGATGGATTTTTGAATGCATTGCTTGTTTGCTTGTTCAGCTT